TTACAAGAAAGAAAATACAGAAAAGATCCAGTGGTTCTCAAAATTTTAGCAAAAAATCTTTTTTTTTGGAAACTTATAAAGTAAAATAACTCCGTTATTTTGGACTTATTTGAAAAACGATAAAGAGATAAAGAGAAAATATGTTTCTTTTATCGAGATCTACCACACCTTAAATTACTTGCACTTATTTCTAGGACACCCTGTATATCAGAAGGGAATAACAAAATATCACGTGTGTTATATTTTTGGAAAGGTAATTTTGAGTTTGGTTCGGTTTGCTTTTTTTTACTTAATTAAAATGTTGTCTACGCTCTATATGGAGTACGTTCCTATTAAGAAGTATTCATTAAGATATTTTATGAAAACAGTATCTCTGTCTTCTTATTACTCTGAGCCTGTATAAGACCTAAAAGAAAAAATTGAGATTTACACAAGGCAGAAGGGCAACGCGACGTGTTAGCGCCCTATCTCATTCACAGCCAACGGCCATAGGAGCGCATTACACGAATATTTATGGCATTAGAAATTATCCAGAAAAGGCGGGTTTTCGTCGGCGTCGATTTTTCACGTGTGCCCCACTCGGGTGCGCTCGACACTATCGCCCAGATAATTACCGGCCGAATTATAGGCCCGCGCCCCCCATTAGCCCGGCTAATGTGCGTAATTAATTTTTTGTTATAGCCCGGAGACTATCTGTCTTTCGTTTTTTTTCTGTTGTTAGAAAAAGAAGAAAGAGTAGGAAGTGCGAGATAGAAGTTATTCATTGAAGTGCCGTTTTGTATCTTAACTCAGTGTAAATCTCACGATGGGACCCTGGCTAGTTATTGTATACAGGGTGGTCCAAACTGTATTCCCGAAACTTCGGCAGCATGTTCTTCAGATAAAAATAAGTAAAAAAGTTTGTATAAATGTATGTCATAAAATGCTTAGTTTCAGAGATACAGGGTGTAGAAGTTTAATTTTTATTTCGATTTTTTCCAAATAATTTCTGACGTTACAATATTTGGATGGAAATTGGTGCCACCTACATGTGTTTTAACTGTTTTGAAGAGTAATAAGTTTTCGTCCGTACCTGTATAAAACTACTGAGTGAAAAAATATACATTTTCGTGAATTTTTACGTAAAAAATGTCTCTTGGTAAAAATTGCTACGAGCAACCGTTCTCAAGATATTTAGAATGGAAATAGTCAATACATGTTATTATTGACTAAAAATAAACATATTATATGTTAAGTAGATAGTTATTTCATTGAAATTATAAATTGGAACTTTTTATTTTTTCAAATTAATTATAAATTTTTCTTCGAAAAAACTGATGATAAAACAGTTTCTATTGAACTTTTGGCACAAAAATGTTTTAAATTTATGATTTCAGTCTGATAACTATTTAGTCAAACGTGTTTAATTTATGTCAGTGATGACAGGTATTGATTACTTCAGAAATTATTTAGAAAAAATCGAAATAAAAATGAAACTTCTACACCCTGTATCTCCGAAACTAAGCATTTTAGGACGTACATTTATATGAACTTTTTTACTTATTTTTATCTGCAGAATATGCTGCCGAATTTTCCGGAATACAGTTCGGACCACCCTGTATATTTTGCGGGCCTATGTGAGGGACCCACAAAAGTTCGTTGTGGGTCTCTCACACTTTTAGAGTCAACTCAGTATTTTTAACTCCCCAATACCCCAATGTAAAAAAAAAGATTTTGCCTATTTTACAATATGTTGTTGTTTTGAATGTATACTTTTTGATCCAGAGATATTTGTTGTTAAAACGTGCTAGAAATTATTTTGAAGATTTCTCAAATTCGTCTAAGAATCTCTCCAATTCGCCTAAAAATCTGTTGGAGATATCAAAAAGCCGTCTGTCAGGAGATTCCCAAGCAAAATTATTATAAACAAGTTCTTCTAGGAGATGCGAGACCTTGTCGTTGGTGGGGAAGCTCCTAGTCAGGTGCTAGTGAAATCCTCTCTGGCACTTTGGCTGGGTCTAAGAAACATCCACCAGAAAGAGAGATATGTCGTCCATTATAGACTCGGGACAACACCGGTAGCAGGTCTAAGGAGAGGCCAAGTTAAAGAGGTGGAGAAAATGGAGGCAGATCCTCCAGCCTCCACCTCACGGGTATCTCAGCCGGAGTCAAGTTTCTCGACTGTGAAGAGCACGGAGTGCTAAACCCAACCCTGGAAGAGTGTATACTCTAGGTAGATAGGAGGTAGATGTCTACTGCTCGGAGGAAGAACATCTGTTGTAAGGGGAGGATGGGAAATACCCTGTCCTCCCTACAACAGGAAAATCTTCGTGTATGATGAGTTATAGCGGTTATAGACTGTATGATGAGTTATAACTCAAGAAAGGGGGATATAATAGATCTTTCGATAGAAGGTCGCGGTGATTGGAAACTCATTCTACAGTTTACAACTTGTAGTTTTACAATCAATCATTATTCTAGTCCCCAATCTAATCTAATCAAAAAAAAAATTGAAAATAGATATTGCATATTTTACAATATTATATTTGTTGTAGATTTTCTCAAATTAGTCAAGATCTGTTAGAGATATTATAAAACGGTATATTTCAGTGGATTTCACGTAAAATTTACTATTGTCAAATATATTATAGTTCTAATCTGAAAAATATTTATTTTTGATGAAATTTGCTTAGTCTCTCCTTATTTTTAAATAATTTAGGAAAATCGTTGTTGCATATTTGACAATATGTTGCACTTAGTCCTAAATATGTACTTTACAAAACCATTATGTTTTTGAGATTTACACTTTTTGTTTCAGATATTTACGTCTCAATTCTGAGGCAATTGAAAATCACCATAAAACTTCCAACCAAAATAATTCAGTCATACCTTAGTTATACTTTGGCCATATTATTTCGAAAAGAACAGATGGACTAGAAAAAGTCCCCATTAAACTAAAGATAAATGGCAAACGACCAAGAAGAAGATCCCCGACGGGCTGGTTGACCAAGCTAAAAAAAATTTGGTTACGGTTAGTGAGAGAGAGCTAATGAAAGACCAAGACCAAAATATCCTTGGTCTTGGTTTTGCAGGGTCCAGACTTGGTATTGGTCTTGCTGCAAGACTTTTGTATTTCTAATAGATGCATTTTCTAAATAGGGAATCTAAATTTTTTTTCTTAGCGTTTAGGAAATAATAGCGTGTTAAGCTTATTATTATAAATATTAATGCGAAGAACTGAATAAACTGGATAGTTAGATCTACTACTGTCATTAAGCATTTATTCTTAAAATTCTATGTTGACATTTCGGTTATAATGAGTGGCACTGATAGTGGTTTTACCGATAAACCAGCTAAACCAAAAAATATAATTAGGGTAAATGTCTTTTTTTAAATGTTTTATTGCGTAACGTATATTTTGGAAGGCCACACAGTAGTCGTTTCCATCAACATAAACCTGTTTCATTTTTTCATTCATTTACCTTCACTTGATTTGATTAATGGAATCTCTCATTTACTTTCGGCGCCTACTGATTTTTTTTTAAATGTTAAATTGTACTTAATGGTTGACTTTTGAATACTGAAAAAAAGCAATTGACAATAATTCTATCACGTTTCTATGATGTTCGCGCTTAACTAAGTGCAAATATTTTAGGGGTAGTATATTTTGACCGCAGAAACACGATTATGAGGTTATTTTTTTTTTGAAAATTTAAAATTTTTTGAAAATATTTTGGGATTTTTTTTAGTTTTGGGTTAGAAATCATAACTTCTTGATAATATGATAAGATAGGTAGTAGATTAAATTTACAAGTAGGAAAACCCAGGAAAGATCCGGTGGTTAACAGAATAAGCAAAAAACAATTTTTTTTTGGAAATTGAAAGTGGAATTTGGAAAGCAAAATAACTCGATTATTTTGTACTTTTTTGAAAAACTGTAAAGAGAAGATATGTTTCTTTTATCGAGATCTACCAGCCCTGAAAATATTTGCACTTACTGAGTCTTAAAAAAAAACCCTATACTATATATTATACAGGGTAGTACAGACGCAAAGTTATTAGTCTCCAAACCAGTTAAAAAATATGTAGGTGGCGCCATCTACAAGTAGGAGTCTTATTGACGTCTGAAATCTCAAAAATTTCTCATATCAAAAAAACCCCAGACATCAATTTCCATTCAAATATTGACGTTACTTCATAAATTATTTGGAAAAAATCGAAATAAAAATAAAACTTCTACACCCTGTTTACACCATATCCGAAACTAAGCATTTTAGGAGACGCATTTATACGAACTTTTTTACTTATTTTTATCTGCAGAATATGCTGCCGAAGTTTCCGGAATACAGTACGGACCACCCTGTATATCACCCTATTAATATCTCACCCTGTAGTATTTAAAAGTCTATTTTTTTGAAATAATTTATTTAAATGGTACCTTATTATACAGGGTGAGTCTGAAATAAGCGCAAATATTTTCAAAGCTGATAGGTATAATCGCGGTATAGATCAAAGAAATATATTTTCTTTTCGCTGTTTTTCAAATTCAAGAAGTTGAAAAAAATTCAAAAAAATGTTTTTGCTTGAATTTTGAGAACAAGTTTTTTTTTCTGTTTTTATTCTTCTAAATTTAATCTACTACGTATGTTACCACATTATCAAGATATCATGTTTTTTACTTGAAAATTAAAAATTTGCGAAAAATACAAAATTTAACAAAAAACTCATGACGTCTCTGGGATCTAAATTTACTACACCTAAAAATGCACTTATTTAAGACACCCTGTATATTATTGAAATTATTCTTCAACTTACAAATCCCATAACATAAGCATATTTTAACTTTGTAAACCGAAATCTACAAAGGATAGTTTAATTTTTTTTTAATTTTTAGTATTTTTCTGAATTTCGAATTCTTGAGTTTTTGCTGCAAACCAAGAAGTTCTAATATTGTGGTTGTTATAAGTTATTTAAAATAGCAATGGTACCAGAATTTTATAGGGTTTATTAAAACAAATATATATTTTAAATATTTTATTACTTCGACTGCCAAGTAAATATTGTTATAAGTACAGCTCGGGCTTTAAAATTACTGTAGCAAAAAAGGTTCAGAAAACACTAGTAACTTTTTTCTTTCAAATATTCTTTTCGCAAGTATCCATGCGGAATACGTTCGTTTATTATTATTAGTAGAAAGGCCACTATTTCTAAATATAAGTAAGGATATTCGGTCTTCAAAATCCCTTGTATAGAGGGACAAAAAGTACTAGTATCTAAACTACATTGGTTTTCTTTAACTTTATATATGTTTATCACTAGCCAAATAGTTTGCGTCAAACACTACCAATGTTCTATTAAGAGAATAAAGCTTTTTCATTATAATAAGTAGAAATTGTCAATACTAAATTTTAAACTATATTTTTCGGTAATTTAAAAAAAAATATTTACCTTCACCATTTTGTCAAAAAAATATTTTATTTTGGTAGTCTCAAAATACATTTTTTCTGTTATTTCTCTTAATAAAAAACCAGGAGGCTTTTGTATAGGAGATTATTTGCAAAACAAAAATACAACGGTATAAGTTTAAAGTACAACTTTCTACATTAAGTTATTGCTAAGTACTTTTCATAACTTTAATGCACCTTTATAGTTTTTTTTAACCAGGAGGATCCTATCTACTTAGACAACTATATTTCAGTGATCCCTGGGTATATTGAGACGGACTAATATACTTTACGTTCATCTGTTTATATAATTTAAAAGTTATTTTATGTCAAAAAACATGATTATTCTTCTTGTTAATTGTTATTGTTCATATTTATCCTGCAAATAAATATGCACAAGCTCAATTTTCACTAAAAATAATGTCATGTGTTTTGATGTAAAATTTCTTAGGCTATTATAGGAATTCTCTACGAAAAATTCGTGTATAGTTTTGTATATAAAATTTCATGCAAAAATTTCTATTAATATAATTTTTCTTTCCAATACGTATTTATTGTATTTCCAAAATATGTATTTTATTTATGTTTAACTCTAAGAATATGTTTATCTTTTAGTATAAACCGACTATACATACAAAAATTCTTTAATCAGAGGGTTCAATTTTTTACAATATAGTTTTCTTTATAATAAGTATTAAAGCCAACTAAAACTGTTATTTAGTTTTTGTTAGTATAAAAGCGTTTAAACTAAGTTTGTTCATACATAAAGGATCAAATTGCAAAAGTAATAATAATAATAATGTTTTAACTGGTGTAATTTTCTAATATTCTACAAACTTATTCCTTCATATATACAGAAATAATCACAAATTCGTTAAAACATTATTATATGCAAAGAGATCTTTTTTGTTTGTTGAAAACAATCTATTTTTGAGTTGTTTTTCCGAAATTTAACTCGACACATTGTTAAATTTTGGAAAATTGGAGACAACTAGTTTATCGGAAAATTCCAGATGACATTCCTAGGACATGTAGATGGTTTTTGGAATAAGTGGTTCCCCAGGTCATTAGAATCAGCTACCCCAAATATTTGCTGGACTTTCCCGACGACAATGTTAATTCTGAAAAGAAAAAAAGATCAATAATATTACAAAAGTTGCATTAAAAAATTGGTGCATTAATTAAATGCAAAATTAAATGTGTTCCAGAGTTAAAAAATACAACAAACGAAGAATTTAATATAAAAAGTAATACACGGAGTATTGTAACTAAACGATTAGATTTTTACAAATAGTAAGTTTTGGGTTCGTTGAAGGACTAGTAGAGCTACAATCTAAAATATTTTTACAACATACAGAGTGTCCCAAATAAGTAAAAATATTATAGTTGTAGTTTTTTTAAATGAAACACCTGTATATTATTCTATTTTTAGATTCTACGATTGGAATAAAGGGATATGTGATTAAAGTTTATTACACCTTACCGTTTTTGAAATATTTTCAATTTTATGAAATTGCAGTAAAAATTTTAAGGCTTCATTTCTCCGAGGGTATCGAAGTTTTTAATACTAAATATTTACTGAAGTTTATTTATCGATCAGATATTGTGTTACAACAATAAACAAAATACTACCTTATACAGAGTGTCTAAAAATTTATATTAAATAATTACTAGCGTTAAACGGCAATAACTTGTTTAATTTAAGTGGAACACCCTCTATATTTTATTAGAATCAGATGCACAATTTAATTGTCTATCGTAGTAAGTGTATTATACCATTTTTCACCTTTCTCTTCAAATTTTCGTAAAAAAATCATTTTCTAATAATTTAGACATCATTTACCACTATAACCATGGAATATTGACATTTTCGGTTATTTTTAAAGATGTAACACATTTTCAAAGAGTACAGATACTAATATTGTCAATATAGTTTGCTTATTTCATTAAAAGATAAAAAAAACTGTTTAAATATTTTTTGTTAAAGAGGACCAATTAATATGATCCCAGTATTCAAACTACATTAATTGACTGTTTACGTTGATTAATAATAATTGCTCTAAATACTAAAAAACTGAATTTTATATGTGTATTAGACAGTGTGGTAAAAAGTAACACCTTATAAATTTTATTTCATTTTTTGACGAATGCTTATTTATAACAACAGAGACGTTCATTTTCATAACTTATTCTATTGATTTCTGAGTCAAATCCATATTTATTTAGAATAATTTATTAATTAAAACAATTAAGGTAAAAAATGGTATAATACAATTTGATAAGCAATTAAATTGTGCATCCGATTCACGTAAAATATACATGGTGTTGTATTTAAATTAATCAAGTTATTGCCGTTTAAAGCTAGTAATTATTTAATATAAAATTTTCGACACTCTGTTATAAGGTAGTATAATTTTTATTATTGCACAACACACTATCTGATCAATAAATAATCTTCAGTAAATATTTAGTACTAAAACCTTTAATAACCTTTGGAAAAATGAAGTTTTAAATTTTTTGCTGCAGTTTCACAAAATTGAAAATATTTCAAAATCGGTAAGGTGTAAGTGCGATAAAACTTATTCAAATTTACCTTTATTTCAATCGTAGACTCTAAAAATGGAATAATATACAGGGCATTTAAAAAAATACAACTATAATATTTTTTTACTTATTTGGGACCGAGTTTGGGACACTCTGTATATTGTGAAATTATTTTTAAATTGTAACTCTAATAGTCCTTCAACGAACTTAAAACTTACAGTTTGTAGAAATTTAATCGTTTAGCTACAATACTCCGTGTCATATGTAGCGAACAACCCTGTATACCGGGACTCTATGGTTACATTCGTAGAATTTGACACTTAATGTTAGTTTAATAATATATTTTTGTACTTTTGTGCCATGCCCTAGACACTCAATGGTAATTTTATAGAACTCCAAATTTAGTTTCTTCCGCATCGCCAGACGGCGCAAAAGACATTAAAGTACAGGTTTCTAATTTATATATGAAGATGATATGACAGTCCCTATGTTGACTATTGTCTGTGGTCTAGTTTTTGTCTAGTTGACATCATGTTGACATGTTGACAAAATGTTTGTAATCCGTCAAGTTATTTTTAAATCATTATTTTGATTATTTTTGATCATTATTTAAATAATCATTAATTCAGATATTCCTGATTTACCGGAAAGTTCGGTGATTTCAGTGATTTGTGTTTATAGTTTGTGTTTTTATTAGTTTGTGCATTCTGATATTTAGAGTCGATCATCATTTTCGTGTTAGATACTAAACTTTTTTATTAAAGTCATTCTGACATTTTAGAAATTATAAATTTATAAACCAAATAAAAAAAAATAGTTTAATCATAAATAAGTAAGTACATAGTTGGTAATATATAGTATTTTTTGTAACAGTTAATTAGTAGTCTATAATATTTTTACTATATATAATTTATTTGTTAAATCAAAAAATAGGCGCTATGTGCTCTATTGTTGGTGTTTAAAATGTATGTATATATTTTAATTTTGTTTTAATTATGTTACACTTCTAATGATCTAATAAAACATAAAATGGCAACAAAAAAGTCTATATTTATTATTTTATATTTTACAAGGAGTAATTTTGAGCTTGAATAACGTTACCGTTTTAGTTAGCGTTAATAAGTAACGGAACGCTAAAATTATGTTATGCCAAAACTCTCCATTAGTTTCTTCCAGATCACTAGGTGGCTCTAAATGACGGACCCATTTGTTTTATATCAGTGTCCAATCTATCTCTAGTACATGACATTAGTCTATGTTTTGTGCCTAGGCGTTAAAATGACCTTGTTATATTGCCAATGACATCACAAAAATTAATACTTTTGTGACGTTGAAAAAAATACTATTAATTATACTGGAGTAGTAGTATTAAGGGCGAAAAATAGACCAAAAAACTGAAATGATAAAAGCGATGCTCTCTGCAAACAGCACCGTCCCAAAATAAGAGAAACAAAACGGGGATAGTAGTAACAAATTGGTAAAATTTTTCTGGTGTTTTCGTTGGGATTTTCGTGGTGCAAAAAGTTGCGGCAGCGACAGCGCGTTTCAGAAATATTTACGAGCGGATGGCTAATCTTGACCGCTGCCAAAATGGCGCAAAATATCGCAATGGCACTTCCTAGACCGGTCGGCAGTATCAAGCAAGTGTAAACATTGATTTAGAACGAGACTTCGGAAAAATAAAGCGTCCTCCCTAGTGGTGCTCATAATCTATTGACCAGATTTGTTTGTTTTCGAGATGCTGTACATATGCACTTCTTGTCCTTATAAATTTATTCCCTGTTTTTGTCCATTTATTTTTGTATGCGCTGAAGCGATAGTTATACAGTACTAACGTTTGTAGTTGCTAGTAAAATATGATACCGCTTCTTCGATTATTAAAAAAAAACATACAGATATTATACAGGATTAACTCTACAGGGCCTTCCCCTAGGAGATGCAAGACTTTGTCGTTGGTGGGGAAGCTCCTGGTCAGGTGCTGGGGGGGAAACCCCCTAGCACTTGGCTTGGTCTAAGAAGCATCTCACTCATCGTCTTGTCCCTGACTGTGGTATCGTGGCCAGGGAATTGCACCAAGACATATAACGATACCGGGCGGGGCTACGGACAGCCTCAACCTTGGGGCACCGGGGGGCACCCCATTGTATTTTACCCCTTACTTCTACATGCGGGGCTCTGTAGAAGTGGATCGACTGTCCCTAGCGACTCATAGGAACACTATGAGATCTGGTAATAATAGTAATAAAAACATCACCGGTGAAGCTGTGGGGAAACCCCCTAGCGACACTGGGAACAGTAACAATGAAAGTTCCAAGGGGCCAAACCTAAAGAGAACTACAGGAGAGGTGGCTGACACTTGCGTGAGACAATCCTCCTCAAGTGGCATACAAGCTACCACCTCCTCCAAGGGTCGGGAGCCTATCTCCTACCTCTAAACCCAACAGGCGACACAAGCTACCGTTTCGTCTACCCGGCCTGGGTCGTAGCTCCTCGACTGTGAGGGACACGGGTCTCCGTAGGAAGTCCTGGGACTGTATGATGAGTTATAACTCAAGAAAGGGGGACACAATAGATCTCTAAGGTCGCAGAGATTAACCCCCTCCCACTTATTCTAATTCTAATTCTAACTCTACAGGGTCGCGCTACAGTTTTAAATAAATGCAAATATTTTTATTCGACCCCAGAAACACGATTATGAGTTTTTTTTCCGCGAAAAGAAATTTTTGAAAATTTGTAATTTTTGGATCTTTTTTTCTTTCTAGTTAAATAAATATAATTTCCTGATAATATGACAACATACAGGGTGCGCTTGAAAAGTGGCTCACACCATAACTTTTTTATTTTTTCAGATAATAAAACGAGATTTGGTATGTTAGTATATGACATAAATTAGGATTGATTGACGTATTCAATTATTTTAGAATACTTCCTGTTTCACCGGAAATTACTACAACTTTTAATTTTTAAATGACACTCCCGGTATTTTTTTACTTTATTCGATAGAATATGACACTCTGCATAGAATGACATATCATAATATGTCAACTTTTGACATTTTCGCATATGGTTTGTATGGCATTGTAACATGCTGTTCGTAACGACAATTTGACTCGAAATAGGAAGTGTGTGGTACCAAATTATTCGTAAAAAATGCTTCTTCCAAATATGCTAATGAGTCACCCTTGTTGCATTTGAAAAAATTGAGATATGATTAAAAATACGATTTGGGCATCTTTTGACCGGCCAGGACAAGATACAAGAAAACATTCAACGGTCAAATCTATTTTCCAAGGCTCCTTGATTAAAAATTAGTGTTTTTAACACAGCCATGGCACTCTATATTGAAATTTAAAAAGCGATTTGATTTTAAGCGAAAATGTCAAAAGTCATTCTATTTAGATTGTCATTTTCTATCGAATAAAGCAAAAATATACCAAGGATGCCATTTAAAAATCAAAAGTTGTAGCTATTTCCGGTAAAATAGTATTGTATTGAAAATTTATTCGTGTTAAACATAGAATAAACAACAAAAATAAATATTCTTTTATAGGTACTGAATATGTCGTATGATCGAAAA